ACCAAATGTTGCTTAGGGATAGCCAGTAATAAACATGAGTTTTGTCCCTAATCTACAACATTCGGCATGTAGTTTTCCCCTTTTCTCATTCCTCAGCCTGCCTGCAATAAAATCACAAACCGTCTTCCCTGAGACGAAAATATAAAAAAATAGAAGACAACGAGTGAATTTTTTACTTTGGGTAATTCCCAAAAATCCAACGATTGCGTATTTTATTGCGTAATTTTTGAGTACTAATTTATCAAAATGTTAAATTGAAAAATAAAATAAAGAAAAATTCGATTGAAATCAAATTAAACAATAATCATTATTATTTCTACATAATAATTCATTTTATTTTCAATTTTTATTTTCTATTTCATTTTAATTTTTAAAAAATATGTTTTTCGAAATTTATCAATTTGTAATTTGTGGGGATTCTTGTTAATTTAGATTGTTCTCACGGCAAATTGTCTTTCGTCGAGACGAACCCCATAATCGGAGAAATTGGGTGATGGAGAGAGTCGTCAAGGGTTTAGGTGTTCCCCTACAGGGATTGAGTATTAAATCCACAATAGCATACGATCTTTGGGATTCCAACGACCGCCATAAATTTGTTTCGTTTATACGATCGTTTTAGATTCTTTGGACGGTCAGGTGCGTTGATTCTTGAACCGGACGTTGTTTTGTTGCCCAGCTCAGCTCAAAGTATCATCTTTCCCTCAAAAAGGACCACAAAAAAAAACGATAAATAATTTTTATTCAATTCCCCTGTTTTGACTCGTTTGGTTTTCCCGTTGTCATCAATGACTCCGGGGAGATGTCCATTTTTTCATCATGAATGAATAGATAAATATCGAGTTTAACGGGACGGAGCCTTGAGCGTGAAATGAAAACCGATGGAGAATAAATGCGAATAAAATGGTCAGTGAATTTCACCTAGGAATGCTCCACTGAGCTACTGTTGCTGAGAGTGTGTTGTATCAAGGGAATTTCATTGCGTGGAAAATGTAAATATAATTGTGGTACCGGGCGCTGACATAACGGTAAGATAATCCGTCGGTCAGAAACGCTGTCTCAGCAATAAATCGTAATTTATGGTCCTGAAGACCCCAGGCACCTTTGGTATTATATCCAATGGGGAAATTCGAGACTACCACTCTACTTATGTTTCAACTTCTTCCAAGTCGTATTTTTTGCAAGAAAAAAAAAAATTCTCTAATTGTTTTTGGCAAACTCCCTTTTCCCTTGTTTCAGTAAACAATATTCTTCAAATGGAAAGGTGTGCTGATTGTTGTCCTCAAGTTGAAAATTATATTAATCTCTTGTTGACTTTCGTAGACGATTTAATCCCCATTGACTCATTCGAACTCATAATTTGTATAAAAAATCTTGAATATCAAAGTGAAATTTAATTTTTGTTGCATCAAAAACCTTGAACTATTCTAATCAGAAGAGATATGTCATATTTTTCTCTTCTTTTTCAGTTATAAATTACTATTATTTAACCAAATCTACATAATATCATTAGCCACCAACAATTAAATCCTCACAAAACAAATAAAATAAATAAACAATACCGGAATAAAAAAGTGCGTGAAAAAATTCTAATAACAAAATGTCCATCAGAATTTTTTCCATACGGGAAATATTTCGTTATTCTCTCAGCAATAATTTCTAGAAACTAAATCGACTGAATTCCTAAATTGTATTGACATTACATAACAGCTATACATTTATTACCAACTTGAGAAGTCTCCACTGAATTAATTACCCAAGATTTACGTATCTCAGAGCCGTAAACCAGTCAAACATTATTAAATGTACACAATCAGTAATTGTGTAATGATATGTCATTAAGCGACGATCGATTAATGTATAATTTTGCCTTTCGATTAATCAATAATGAGTCACAATGTATTGAAATGAAGGTTTAGTGCTCTGGAAAAAAAAGAGAGAGGATAGGGTTTATAGAGAGAGAGTATAAACATGAGGGAAACCAATCGGGGCGAGTAGGCGAACGATGATGTTTACGGGTGTATCGGACCTTCCTCGGATAATTTATTGTCTTCCGTTGTCGACGCATGGCGCACGCCTGTTCTGCTCACTTTATCCACCTTAATATATCTCAATGAAATTTCATACCACAATAATTCTATTTCCTACTAAATCAGACTGAATCCACGCTATAGCGCACTGTAATTATAAAAATCATGATTGAAAATCTCGAAATATATATCTCCAATATTTTTTATGTTCGTCACATAATATGTCGATTTTTCAGGATTTTTTCGGAGTTTCAATGGATTAAATTTGAATTCTAACTCAAGTTCTTTTATTTTTCTGATTTTTTTATTCTTTTAATGAACAAATATCGGTATTTGATGACATTTCGATAAAACATTTAATTTTTTAAGAGTTTCTTCGTGTGGGGAAAACATTTCACGTGTGGGGAAAACATTGATGAAAAAATTGATTTCCGGAGGGAATTAAATATTCAGATAAAAGTGCAAGCACTTGATATCATCATTTTTATTGCCGTTTTTTTAATTCTTTTTTTTCCAATTTCAATCCTTTAATAGTTATTGCATTATTCCTACAATTGAAAGAAATTGAAGAACTATTTCGTAGCGTTTTCACAAAGTATCGAAATTTTGTATTACATTTTTCATCATTCCCGAATAAAAAAAAATTTAATTTACAAATATAATAAAAAAAAATAAATAATTTTCGTAAGGAATAAAATTCCCAGAAAAAAAAACGATTACTTTACCTTCTTTAAATTTTTAATTTTTTCATATGCAAAAAAAAATCCACCTATAAAATCTGCATAAACATTTGCAATAAAATATTCTATATTTATTGCCTCACTTCATTGATGAAACTAAAAATAAAAGGATTTTGATTTTTTAAAATTATTTTTGATGACAAAAAGAATTGAAAAAAAATTGAATAGTATTTTCTTAAAACATTTCCATTTTCCACCGAATTGGTCGTGATTCCAATGAGAAGAATAATAGAATTGAAAAATGCACTGGGGAATAAAATATTTAGATGAAAGTACAATTATTTAATCCTGTGATAACCCATGTGAATATTGTATACGTGATGTGACGTCACTTCCTACTAAACGCCCTGGATCAACGTTTTTTAAGTGGCCAGGGGGTCCCACTGGTACGTGACTTGTGTCGATGCAATGATAAACGGTTAGTTGACACGTCAACTCGACGCTCACTCATTCGCACTTCTTCTCCCTTTTTTTCCCTCTCTCTCTACCCAATTCTTTTCTCAACTCTTTTTTATTCAGACCATTATAACTGGAGTGTCCTTGAAATTGACTTTTTTGCTAGAGTCATTCGTCTTCTGCACTTGAATTTGGGGGTCAAAGCGTTGCCGGATGTATCAAATAAAATTAAATCACTACCCGCATGTTTTTAGAATTTTTATCAGTGAATTTGTTCAGAAAAAGGTTAACTTCAAGCTAGTAGTACCTACTGATACCGTTTTTTAGAATTTTTCTCCACGTTTCACTGGCGAATGGAAATTCAGCTCTCAATTATATTTTTGAGAATAACGTAATTTTCTTAATGCGTGGTAATACAAAATCTAAAGAATTAATTGTTAATTTAAAAATTAAGTGTAATGATGAAATGATATGGCGAAGTCTCAGAGAAATATTTGCATTTGTTCGTTTACATCTGAGTGTTTATTTAAACAATCAGAAGCCAAACAGTTGAAAGAGGCCGGACCAACTGACACACAAAGATATTCTACTAATAGTAATGTCCGGATATTTGATGATAATAATAGAACAACGGTTAGAGTAAATTCCAATCCGAGTGTTGAAATTTGATTGAAGAATAAATAGGTTAAGTTCAAACAATTTTGACATTAACCAGATAACCAACACGTGTAAGTACTACCAAGAACAATACCCTCTCAACAACTACGAAGATGAAAACACTGACAGCATGTGGGAGTAGCTGTCAGTCATTGTTGTCCACATACACTTGTTTTTCCTTCTACCCCAAGTGGATCTTCATGTTAATACTTCTTACTCCGTGTTACATTGTAGCTGATTTGATATTTCTTGTTTAACGAATCATCGGGGTTAGCTATTGTCAGTCAACAGTAAGACGTATCCATTACGATGATTTGTTCAACGTGAATCTAACCTAAAATTGACGGAAATTAAAATTTATTTCTGGGATTTAACGAAAGAAGCACAATTTTTCAGTTGATGATTGAGGCATTTGTTTGATTTATCAAATTTTACGATAACATATTTTGTGTAGAATAATTTTGTGAATATTTATTGAAAGTGGTCCTTGGTGGTCCTTGATGTACATTCTTGTGATTGTTAGTTAAAAATACAAAGTTTACGTCCCTGTTTGAAGAGCATCCAGTTTCTGATAAAAACTGGTAATTGCTACCTGAGGAGAAATTGAAATCAGTAATCCTGACAAAGTAATCAGCGAAATCTGATTTTTATTAATTTGGAATTAGTTTTTTAAAACTTGTGTTGATCAATACCTGATCAAAATCGTGGGATCCCCTTTTTTTCCCAGAACAGAATCCAAGAAAATGTCAAAAAAACTGAGAAACCTTTCAGGTTGGTAGCTAATCTACGTTGCATCTTAAGCTGATGAAGAATTTCTCGAGAGAACCCTATCAGGATTGAGGTCAGGCACTTTAGATCTAACCCTGACGAGGAATGATCGCGTTCATTTCACATGATTCGACTAATCAGGTGAAGATCAGAGTAGCTGAGTAGCTAAATAGCTGAACCATACCGAAAAAAAAATCCTATTTCAAAACTAACTGATCTTCGATCAGACAATTTCGAACAGGATTGGATCTAAACCTGATCTTGATCAAGACAAACTGTGTGAATTTCCACTGGGGCAAAAACGCGTCGTGCAAACATAAACGTCTATCAATCCTTATTTATTGTGCTTTGACTCGAGTCAAGTGATGACGAATGATGTTATTAATCGGTCAATTCGTCTGTCTTTTTCCAGAGGCCACCATCCTCGTCACTTTCGTATCCCGGTGCGGGAGCAAATGACGACGCCAGGAGCCCAGGAAGTGGCGGTACCCCAGGACCACTCAGCCAACAAGCACCTACCAGCTTGGACTCATCAGATCCCGGTAAGTTTAATGCTCCATTACATTAAAAAATAATAGATTGCGGTGACATGATGACATGATACGTTGGAGTTGAATGAACACGCAACCATGTTTAGCTGGGGACAATTGAGACACACCCCGGAGTGCTTGACATTTAGGGACCTTGGGACTAACGAAATTTTTTAACGGGCACGTCAACTCGAGTCAAGGAGACCCCAGGCTAATGAGTCGGGTATCAATGGCGTCGACTCATCCCTGACCTTGAATTTTTTTAAATGAGAGGTTAGGTCATTGAATTCTCCGGGTGGAAATGAGAGAATAGGGTCAATGGGGCAGTTGGACTCTAGGAGAGGATTAATTCCTCTTTATTCTTGACGACAGCATGAGGAGTTCATAATTTTGGGGAAAGCTAACCTCATTCTGCAATCTATCACCTAATCAGTCAAAAATGGCGGGAACATATGAACATGCTGAGAGGATACTGACAGAACCAAATGATGCATTTGATGATTTATCATTTCCATTTCCTAGATTTGATTATCCATAGATTTGAACAATCACTGCTAGACAGAATAAGAAATTCCCTACTAAACAAATTCAAAACAAGTTGGTAACATGAAATATTTCTATGGTTCAAGAGTCCACGTAAATCTGAGATAAGATCGAGTAAATTCCGATGGAATTACGGAATGAAAAACAAAAATGATTCACTCAAGGACAAAGGAGACTAATTATTGACTCCTGAAATCCCTCGATGAAGAAAATCTGATTGATTAAACGTTTTGCAAATTAGATTCTATTGCATTATCCCCGGCACGGACTCTGCTTAGCTAAGATGAAACATATCTCAATAATTGATAATCATTACAGGAAATGGGTAGTTAGTGGATTGTTAAGAGTAAATTTTTTTTTTTAATATAAATATAAATTATGGGTTTTGACGTAATTTCCGGTAGATGTCATGATACCGATCAGTTAGAAAGACCAAAGTTATTTTTATATTCCGATTTAATCCCGCGGATGATTTGATGGCTGTTGATCAGAGGTGTTTTGTCACTGTCATACAGTCGTGTTTTGTGTGTTCGTATCAGGGCAAAGTGGGTGGAGGGAGGAAGAATTGTGAGCAGTCGCGAGCCACTGACTTTTATAATGTTGGCACGACATTGAATATAGACGACTGGTCTTAATGAATCTTTATGGGATGGTGGCGTGAACTTGTATTCCTCTACGGTGACTGACTGAATCATTCCAACAACCGCGTGAACTTGTACTGAATTATTTATTTTCTGATAGGAATAATCACCGCAGTTATCAATTAATCAATTTTCGAAACTATCCCATAAATCTTCGTGACAACAATCTTCAAAATTTTTCCGCGTTTAGAGCGTGTGTAAAACCTGAAATTAAATAATAACACATCGTTATTTCATTACGTTCAGTGTAGTTATTTTTGCTAATAAATTACAAATATTCCCAAACTACGAATTTTGAGCAATTTTTTTTTGGATGTCGATACAATTATTACTGCCATTATATTCTAATTCGGTCAACAAGACATTGAAACAAATCTTTAAAATCATTATTGAAGCATTTCATAATATTTTTCGGTCGATTATTATGAAAAAACTGATTTTTGAAAAAATCCAAAACTTGAAAAAATTAATAAATGAACCGAATCTTAATTACTATCAATGACTAGGTCATCCAAATAATTGAATCATTAAAATAATTGAATCTTCCGTAATATAACAATAACTAGTAATAAATAAATAAGTCAGACGATAAATGCAATGAGACAATGAGAATATCCTTCGAAATTTAGAGAATGGTTTTCGCAAACGCGAAAAATTCTGCAAAAAATAAATAAAATAACGGAGAATATCCGAGGGATCGACTGCGCATGGTAAACAGAAACAGCTCTCAGCATGCTATCCTCTCGTCAATTCTCAATTATACTATTATTTATATTTTTTTAAACGTCGTCGATGACGGGCTCACCCACCTCCGGTGCTTATCGAGCTGTGTTACCCACATGAAGCGATATACACTAACACAAATATGGAAAGAATAAGTGTGGAGTTGGGTGCTTGCACGATAGTGTAAACCCCGCGTATCGCCAGTTCTATTTAGTGGTACCAACATCCCACCCTCTATTACTTTGTTGTATACCTGACAAACTCAAACGTCACAGATAACGATCGATTGGTCTATGGGATACTGGTGCTGTCTCGATACAGTGTGCAATCGTTTTATTATCATAGTTCTTTTTACTTTTTCATTTTTCTCTCATTCATTCATCCATTCACCCATGCTTCACTACTCGGATATAATGAATTTCTATTTTCTATAATTGGAATGATTAATTATAACTCATTCACAATCTTTTATTTTCCCTTTGATTAAGTAACTCAAATAGTCATATTACATTTTTGTTGTTATGGGTATCAATTAATTGGTTGGAACAACGTTGGAATTAATTTTGTGATTTTGGGATAATGAAATTGTTGAAGGATTATTTGTTGAACAACTGACGATTTTTTCACAATATTTTAGCAAGTCTATCAGTGATTTTGATTTTAAACGGAAATCGCTAGATTTTATTTTTATTTAGCTTATCAACAAATAAATTTTGTTGTCATTTTCCTCTCTAAAGTCGTCATTGAAAGAAAAACTTATTCTATTAACTAAGAAAATGGATAGATCTATTGATAATGAATTCATTGACATTCAATCGAGAACGAAGGATTTTATGTTTAATAATTTTTATGAAAAATCAGGATTTTTTATGAAAAAACCGGTGGAACGCGCAATTTTCTGTTGAAATCATTCGCTGAAGATCCGATTATTAATAACATCTCCAATGCATCGATGATGATTCCACTGAAGTAAAGAGATTTTATCATCAGACGAAGGAATCACTTGATTATTAATTCACATTTTATGGAGATAGAAATAGACAGCAATAGAATTTTAGAAAAATTGAATGAATAATTTGCAATATTAATTCATGTGGATAGACTAAATGATTACTTAGACTCAATTCTTGGAACTCCACGATGGTGTACACACGAATCCCAGTTGAAATAACCACTGGAAAGGGAGAGATAAAAGTAATGAGGCTGATTTGGTATTTTCTGTGGTTCAAGTCACTTAGTATCAAGCTGTTATCAGTAACACTCTTTCTCTCTACATCTCAGTTCAATTCCACTTTCAAGTGATATTTAATTCATTATTCTAATCGAAATAGCTGCCAACTTTAATTAGAAATGTAGAAAAAAATTATTTTACAATTTTTCCCTCGTGCGTTATCAACCGTAATTGAACAAGTTAAGAGGAAAAAAAAAATTCCCGCGATGTGGAAATCAAATCGGTATGCGATAAAAACCAGATAATTGTGATAACCATCATTAATACTGCCTTGACAAAATACTTCCGTACACTTACACCAACTTTTGCACTTCTGATACTGTAACAATACTCAAGTTGAGTGCCGAATGTTTACACTCCCCCAATCATTTGAATCAAACTCTTTATTCATCTTCTTTCCTCCCATTCTGTGTTTATCTCTTTCACTTAAACTGAACAATGAATCACAGAGTCCATTCAAATGTTACAATGCTAGTCGATTTCTCTTATCGTTCGTCGATGACTAATTTGTTGGTACCACAAGGTGAATTCAATCCGGTGCAATTAAAAATGAAACATTAAACCGTGAGAGATTGGTTTTATCAATGAATATCGATCAGGCTGATTAATTATTTCGCGAATATCTCCAAAAGATAGGACTGAGTCTATTTTTTCACTTTGTTTTTTCTTCTGGAGATATTGCAAATATAAAGTTGAAAACGCGCTTGCGATGAATTTATTATCTCTTTTATTTCTTTTAATTACCTCTCTATATTTTGGTTTTTTTCTCGCCTAAATTCAAAGAGTATTCGTAATTGAATATTTAGATTTATCGATTTAAACTATATAATCCGTGAATCTAAAAAGAAATTAAAAGTTTTACCCGTGGAGTAAAACCGATTTAATTTTAATTGAAATAAATTCCTGGATATTGAAAATGAAAATTTTACTGAAAATTGATTTTCGGTAATAAAAAATGAATTTTCCTAGAATTAACTATTAAATAAACTATTTCGATTATTTATATGTTGAAAATGAACAATGAAAAATTAAATCCTTTCAAAATGTGATGCAATTAAAGTGACGAATTCGATAATTGGACATTTCAACATATATAGTTATTTGCATGTCTCTGATCATCCGAACAATAAAAACAAATGGTGTTTTTAAATGATTTTATCCATCGAATGAAGCTACTAACGCCCGGGGAAAAATCAATTAAACCGTTTGCATGAAATATTGTAGCAATTACCGCCGATTGCCAAATCCAAGCGTTGGTTTATCGATATCCACATTATCAGAGGTGGAGGATTCCAGTTACAATGTCGTTTCAACCCTCAAATGTCCTTTTTATTCTCCTTCAACTCGAGTCGAATGAAATGCAAACAGAAAAAAAAGCTATTAAAACTGAGAGAAGACAGTGAGTCTTTATTTCTGATTTGTTTATTTTTCTTTGTTTGATGTGAAGGCGGCAAAATGCGATATCTTGAGGCTTCAAGCGACCCGGGACCGCACAAGTTCCGTTGGTGATATCGAATGATTTCTGGAGGAATGGAAAATTAAATTTTGAAAATTTTTCACTCGTTTTACCAATTTTTCATATGTATCAGTCGCCGGTCTATTTTTACGACGGTTTTTGGCAGATGAGCCAAAGTATTTTAATTGAACAAAATTTGAGGAACAGTTGAGGATTATAGAGAACAGAACCGTGAAATTTTATTTTTATCTGCATGATATTTTTGGAAATTAAATACCGCTATAGTATTGAGCTGCTAATATTATGTACTGGAATTATTTTATGTGGGATATGAAGTCTAAAATCTCCAGAAATAGCCGCGTGATATTCATGCTGAATATTAATGTCGCCATGAGGTACACACTGTTAGGAAAACTAT